ATCATCACGATCAGGGACACTGAGATTTCTGTTCTGATAACAGTGTGTTTGAGTGATGTACCAAGTTCCACGCAGTGGGATTTTGTCTTCCAGCGGTGTGAGAAATGGCTGCTGCGCAGTGCCCAAACGCAGAGGGAGCAGAGCAGGTCATTTCTCATCCTCTTTTTTCTTCTGAGAGTCTTTCATTCCATGTTAGAAGAAGAAACTTGTGTCCAATAAGGAATTAAAAATACCATAGTAAGAAAATTGCTACTCTGCTATTGTTGTACTTTACCTGAATAAGTAGATGCCTCAGCGTTTCCTAAAAATGCTGCTGAAAGGGAAGGCGTTAGGTTTTCACCCAGTGGGACAGTATCTTGCTTGAAACTAAAGGTTGCATTCAGAAACCACTTGTTTTTTATGCTCTCGGAAGTTAAATGCTCTGTTACTGGCCTCTGGTCAGATGTTTTCTGCGCTTGTAACGGGTGCTGATGCTGGAAGAGGCGGTCGTGGCCACTTCTGCCGCTGTACCGGCCTTTCCTTGAGCTGGCACCAGTGTTTGGACAGCTGAATTGCAAAGAACTTGTAGCACTGACGGAGCTCAAAGGTGGCTGGTCTGGGTTTCAACTAGGCCTGGGCTGGGTCCCGATTCAGTTCATCCCGCAGAGACGCGGACGGTTGTGCCGGGAGCAGGCTAGGAACAAGCCGTGGGGCGAGGGAGCGGGGTTTCTTTGGGGAGTGGTGCAGCGCTCGGTAAGTAACTTTACCAAATGTGTCACAGTTACCGACAATTGAATTGGTTGATCAGGTGAGTCAAAATCTGTTCTGAAAGTTTAGCAATGGTCACATTAATAAATGGTTTGAAAAGTTAATTACGCTTTTGTCAGGTGGTTGTGCTGTAGTGCTTAGAGCGCAATACAGAGACCAAACATCCACTCCTTGGTGTGTGGAGTGGAAGCCGCTCTGTCACGTGCAGATGGGAACGTTGGCTTTCTTTGTGTCCTTGTGTGCTTTAGCTTCCTGTAGCCAGTGTAGCTGCAATAAATACCGGGGTAAGTGACCATTTGGCTCAGAGCGTTTAACTTCAGTTCAATTCGCAGGTAGGTCTTTGAGGTCTTCTCTGCAGGGGCATTAGCTGTGAAATCCCAGCTTTGATCTGGCACCTCTGGAAGACAGCCGAAGTGTGCGAAGCACCCGTGGTCTTCTGTGCCTTAGCAACAGCAGCTCGTGCTGGGTGGCTGTTTGCCTTCTCCTGGAATGCAGACGCGCAGTTGTGGGCTTGGCCTGAGTTGCCAGGAGAATAACTGAAAGTGGTGGGGAGTCTGCGGCCGAGGCGTGCCGAGCTGAGGTCGCTTTCACCAGCCGATCGAGTATGGCCGCGCTTGAGTGTTGCACGTGAGTTCTCACTAGAACTGCGAATGCACAAGGGCTGGTCAAGAGTCCTGCGGCATTTTCTGGTGCCTTGGACAGGCTGTTGCTTGTTGTGGTGTTTGTGGAAAGCCAGAAGGATACCAAAGAGCGTGGGAGTTGGAGTCTGTGTATGCAGAAGGTTGTAGCAAGAAGTCAGAACGGTGATTCTTCAGCTCTCGTACCTGTACTGGCTTCAGCTGGGTCTTACTCTTAGCAGATTTGTTGAGCAGTCCATTTTTAATAGTACCAGTGTCCAAAAAGTGGGCTTTTCAGTGGCTGTGCTTTGGGGTTTAACTCTTTGGGTGACAAAAAGCATAATTAGTCTGCCTAAGTAGCTGTTAGAGGTGACTGAAATTTTGCCATCATCTGTAGTAGCTCATCTTGAAAAGCTTGTCATGATCAAGTTCACTGGCAGCATGGAAGGGTGAGTCTTTGCAATATGGATGAAAGATACAAAACTTGATTTGAACTTCTCTTAAATGGTCTGTTCACAGGCAGCCTGCTTCTGCGAAGTGGTATGACCGAAGGGACTATGTCTTTATTGAATTTTGCGTTGAAGACAGTAAAGATGTTAATGTAAATTTTGAAAAATCCAAACTTACATTCAGGTAAGTACCTTGGGTCTTCACAAAGCTGAAAGGCACTGGGGGGGGGGGAATCCCTAAAGGCTGTGCTGGTACTGATTAGATGATGTTTCTCTTAAAGTAGTAAGTTCTGTTGATGAAGTGTGTTTGTTCTTTAAGACATTTCCTGCTAAACACAAGCATTTTTTTCTCTTAACAGTTGTCTTGGAGGAAGTGATAACTTTAAACATTTAAATGAAATTGACCTTTTTAATAATATTGATCCAAATGTAAGTATTCTCTTGACTCTCTTACTGTTGTCTTAGTGCTGTATCCTGAAAAATACCGTCCATTCTTTAGGCTACTTCCAGTATTGTGGGCAAATTGTTCCTTAGACCGTAAGAGCATGCTTGAACTCAGATCTGTGAAAGCATTTCTGGACGGTATTTTTCAGGACAAAGAATAAGTTGATAGCTTAAGACAAATGAGTATAATATAAGCGGTTCCCGGTGAAGTTCGTGATGACTAATACTAACAGATACTTGTTCTTTTCTTTTTTAGGAATCAAAGCATAAAAGAACAGACAGATCTATCTTGTGTTGTTTACGAAAAGGAGAGTCTGGTCAGGCATGGCCAAGGTTAACAAAAGAGAGGGCAAAGGTGGGTTTGGGCTCCTTGATGGCCAGGGTAGTAGTGCCTGTTGCCTCCCCTGGTTTTTAATTTTGTTTAATATTTGGGTCATGTTTAAATTATGTAGCAGTTAATGGGTCACTTACCATGCTTCTGATCAGAACGGCAGTTCTTATTAACCGTCCTTTTCTGAACAGTAACAGCTTGTTACTCGCTTGTCCTTAACTAACTTCTTGTGTTGATGTGCAGCTCAACTGGCTCAGTGTGGACTTCAACAACTGGAAAGACTGGGAAGATGACTCAGATGAAGACATGTCCAATTTTGATCGCTTTTCTGAGGTATGGGGAGATGAGTACCTGGAGGTTTGGGTTTCCTTCTGGGCTGTGTGTAGGCAAGCAGGGACTGACAGCTGTGGGAAGAGTCGCCTTCCTCAGCATTCCTCCTCCTGGTGCGTTCCTGGCTGCTGGTCTCGGTGCAGGCGCTGCTGGTTTGTGGAGGCACAGCTGTTGCCAGCTGTGACCCGCGCTGTGGGAGCGAGATGACCAGTTTGTGCTTGCTATCGAATACGAAATGAATGTATGTCCTGTCGTAGAGGCCGGCACCAAGTCAGTGCACTGGTTGGTTTGCAAGGCAATTAATTTAAATTTTTTTGCATGCTCACCTCGTAATTTCTGCATAGGTGCAGCTGATTTGTCAAAACAACTGATGGCTCTTGGTTATAACAGTTTTAAGCTATTTTTAGGTTTTTACAATGCTCCCCTAGTTCACGTAGAGAGTGCAGTTGGCTTCACCCTGTAATGTGGCTGTTATCTCTCTGGAACAGATGATGAACAACATGGGCGGAGATGACGACGTAGACTTGCCAGAAGTAGATGGGGCAGATGATGTAAGTACTTTGTTTGCAGTAAATACGCGCAGGGCTGTCGCAGCGCCCTGCACATTCATCGCAGCTTGCTGAAGTCAAACTTGCATTCCATCTTCAGCGCTGTTAAAAAGTTAAACTGTACCAAACCTTGTCTGGACAAATGATGTCATCTGGCAAAAGTCATCTTCCTCCCCTCCAGCAGCGGTGCTCAGGGCGCTGGTGTCAATGCTTGCGGTGCCCAGACAGCTTGGTGTCACCTACTTCTGCAGTGACTGCTGGTTATTACGGGTCTGTAGGCTCTGGCCAGTGAGGCCAAGCTAAGTCCTGTGGAACCTGGAGTTCCTCAAAATGCAGACTGACGGAGAGCACGCTCGCCACTAGACTTTGGAAACAGCAGCTCGTTTGCTGGGTTAGTGGCGGTAGAGGGAAAAGCACCTTCAAGCACAGTCTGCTCCAGTTAATGTTTCTTCTTCTTTCCAGGACTCGCCAGACAGTGATGACGAAAGTAAGTTGACATTCTCGTTTGTTTCTGCACGCCCTGCAGCAGGGCGAGCGCTTGCTGAATGCTCCGGGTTGAGCGAGAGCCTTGAGCAGAGCCAGCAGATGTCCTGTCCTGTCAGTCTCGCTAAATCCTGGCTGCGAGCTAATGCCAGTGCCTTGCCTGAGCGGTGCGAGACAATACAATCTAGTGAAATCCTTTCCACACAAGCATGAAATACCAGTTTGACCTTCCCAGCCGGCTGTAGTCCTGGGGAGGCTTTGGCTTTAAGAGCAGCAGGCACGTGCACGGGCCGTCAGCGTGTGTGGTGCTGGCCCTACTCGAGTAACTTCTGTGCGCGGCCACTGCTGCGCACGCAGGTCTTCCTTGTGAAGAACCAGCTCTGCGCTTCGGGGGTGAGGTCAGAGACCCTAAACTGCCCCGTGCCCTTCTTGGTTGAGGGCTGGATCTTCTTGCCTGTGTCCCTTGTGATGCAGTGGGGCTGCTGGTAGCTTTTTTTTTTCCAAAGACAAAACAACAAGACCCACCCACTAATGCTGTTCTCTTTCTCTCTAGAAATGCCGGATCTGGAGTAAGGAAAACTGTCGTCTTCAGGGTTTGGGGAAAGAACTTCATCACAACATTTCATAATTGAGATAAGAATTCCTGAGTTGATAGCCCTAAAGGGAGATCCTGCATCCTTTAACCCATTTTCAGTCCATTTTAAATGGCTTCACTGATGGTAGGTGTGTACCGTTGCACGGGGCGGTCTTAAGCCACGAGAGGCAATAATGTTATGCATGAACCGTTTTCCAGACTTCCAAAAAAAAAAAAACAAACCCAATTGAGGTGTAGGCAATCGATACAGAACAGTTGCAATAAAGTTTACAGAGCCTCCTTGCCTCGTAGCAGATATAATTACAATGGGAGAATCCTGAACTTACACCAAGTGGTAAATGAGCATTTTTTTTCCCCCTCTGCGGCCTGAAATTGTACGTTTGTACCGGGAACAAAACTGGCTGAAACAAGGCTGTTGTCATTGGCTCACAAAATTCAGCAGGTGATGCGCAGTACCGCTGTGGTGTCTTCAGGTCTGTTCCGCTAAAGCTCGTATTGAAAAGGAAACAAATTTCTCCTCGTTTTGGTGTTTCATCACGAGTCCCGTGCCCCCGAGCCGGCGCAGGTGCCTGAGGCCTGTCCCCTGGTACCGTTTGACCCTCAAAGCTTCACACCTCCCGGCCCGGGGCGCGCGGCTGCGCGTTGTTGCTTGTCAATCTGTACGTTTAGACCAAATCGTATTTGCACTGTGGGTAGGGAAGTGAGTGACAGACCGTGGGGCGTACACGCGCGGGTGGCTTCTAACCAGGCTGAAAAACCTCAATTTATGTTCAGAGCAGCGGGGATTTTTTTAATGTCTACATTCTTTCTAATAAACTGTTGAAGCCTCCCTGCCTCTCCTTCCGCCTGGGCCCTGTGCCTTC